TGTACGTTCTCTTCATGCTTTCTCGGCTTGACCTGACCATCGTTGGACAGTTTCTTGCACTGTTAAGTGGTGTTTGCACGGTGGCAACCGAGTAGGACCGAGAGAGACAAGATTGGTTTTTAAGCCTCTTGCAACGGTGTAGGACCTGATGTGCAGCAGAATATCCAGTCCTCCTTTATCGCAAGAGGTTTAAAAATCGGTCTTGTCTCTCTCAGTCCTACTCTGTTGCAAGCGTGTGGACGGCGCTTTACATATACTTGCATACCACCAGTGCGGCTTGGTTTGCGTAAACTGCCCTTAAATGCAAAGAATGGAGTGTGCCGTACCATTGCATTTGGATCTATGATTCTTGTCTGTTCAACCTCTTTTAAACCTTGTGAAAAAAATCTGTGGCCATCGTCTCAAAGATAATCTGGAAAATACATCCCCAGGTAATGCATAGGTTAGGGAAAGCTTCACCACCACCAGCCAGCATTTGACACATCGCTTCTTTCCAACCATCCCTCTTTCCACCAATCTGACAGCATTAGGATTCAGTGATGCCAAAGAATGGAAAATTACAACTGCTCTTCCTCAAATTAAACTACCACACTACATCCAGTCCACTAGTGCACTGTTTATGTGAATGAAGCCAGTTTGAAAGTGTCGCGCTAAAATCGTCACATTCCCTTGAGTGACCTGTCACTCTCAAGTAATCAATCCTTTTATTTCACGTCAACACAGGATACAATATAACCTATGTTTTTAGCAGAGTAGAACATGTTGCTGTGAGGTGGAAACCACTATTTCAATGCCAGCTCACTAGTTGGGTGATGGGAGAATGGAAGTAGGAACTGCAGATTTTGAGTATTCATCAGGAATAAAATAGAAAAGTTAGCTAAGTCCTTTGATGTTTGTGGATATTGAATGCCCGGGTTTTTTTTTTGTTTTGTTTTATTATGGTATGTACATCAGAAAATGCACTTTTCCTGAAAAAATAAGTACTGCAGTATTTACGTTGCGGTACACTTTTGGAGTTCGGAGCAATTCCAAAGCATGGTTTACTTTCAAGACTGACCCGGAGACAGAAGCATGTTTAGGAATTTCTCCTAACTCAAAATGAGTGATGACATAAATGTAGCACTAACTTTTTTTAATTGAAATGTTTATTTTGTGACAGACAGGTCCTATACAGGCGCTAAAAAGCAATGTTTCTTGGGAGTGCAGCATTTATTGAAGTGAATGGCCACCTCCCACTACACCAGTGTTGATGTTCAGGCACTCTTTTAACCTGCTTCTCTTGGTAAAAAAAAATGCCTGTTGAAACCGATTTGGCTTGTTTCTTTCACAGAGCCTGTTTCGAAAGCCACTAAAGTCGAAGAACAGGCACCTGGCTGTGAAGACACCGAGGGGAAACGCTCTTCTGAGAACATTTTGCTCACCGTGTGGCAGCAGATGGCGCAACCACACCGAGAGAAGAAATATCAGTGCCGGTTCTGCCCTTTCTCCAGCTCTCGCTCGTCGAACCTCAGGCAGCACGAAAGGACGCACACGGGCGAAAAGCCCTTCAGCTGCGCCGTCTGCCACAAAAAGTTTACACAAAAGGCTCGCCTGCAGGCTCACGAGAAAATTCATACGGGTGAAAAGCCATTCAGGTGCCAGACTTGCGAAAAGGCGTTTTCAGACAAATCTAACCTGCAAGTTCATAACAGAATTCACACAGGTGAAAGGCCGTTCAGGTGCCAGACTTGCCAGAAGGCAAGTCTGGCACCTGAACGGCCTTTCCAAATAGCGGTAACTTGACGCATCACAGAAGAGTCCACATGGGTGACAAACCATACAAATGCGGAACATGTGGAGCTCCGTTTAAGCAGTGGTTTCAGTTGAGGCGTCACGAGGAACTTCACGGTGTAGACCCATCATTTCATTGCAAGCAGTGTGGAGAAAATTTTCTGAAGAAATTTAATTTAAATGCACATGAGAAGGAGCATCATCCGTGAGGGACATCCATTATATAGTAAAGGGTGGTGTAGCTTGACATATTTGCACAATGTCGTTTTACCTTTTTGTTCAAGACCACCTTGGGTAAACCTGTTAACTGATTGCCCATTAATGAATCATGTATGGTGTAAGAGTACCGACTACCATCTATCACACACTAGAGTCAGGGCAGCAAAAAGAACTATCACTAACAAAGAAGCCCTCAGTGCTTATCACGAGCATATACCATATTTTCCGGTCTATGGGTCACACCTTTGCTTAAGTCGCGCCTTACTCTAAAGAGCTGTTTTCATTGAAACATTGCTATTTTGGCTGCAACCTTGTACAAGACACCTATATATTTGTATGATAGGCACGGCAAAGATTAATTGAAAAGCCTGCATATATGTGTACCGTATTTACTCGCACAATAAACACTTTTTTTTCCCCGAAAGATTGAAACATATTTGGGGTGGGGGGGCGTCCATTACACAGGGTACAATTTTTTAATATACACATTTCGTGCAAATGTCATATTAGGTGCCAATATGACGGCAAGGTACTGTGGCACATGGTGGCGCACCCACGGCTGATCGGGGGCGCGCCACAATAACCATGTTTTATAAATTGCAAATCTTTTTACAGCGCTTTTGGGGTGCCTTTTGCCGAAGGAAGAGCGCCCTAGAAGCTCACTCAGCACGAAAAGCAACTTGACCATTCTTAGGCGATATATATTGCTAGTATCCGGCGGGCACGCTCGGGTATATCCACGACTACGCGTTTAAGAACTCGTAACAAGTCCAACCCTCGACCGCAGAAGCCGTTCACGTGGATCAAGTTTCGTTCACAAAGACACTCATATTAAGTCCAACCGTGGACCCCCAAAGCCCGCTTGCACGGATCGAGTTCCGTTCACGGAGAAGCTACCAGACACTGTCAGCCTACAGTGCAGCGTGCACCTAGCTGTGCCGTCTTGTTACGGATTAAATAAACGCATTTACCCGGAGTATTTGAAATTAGGCCTAACCACATTTACAATTTCTTTGTCCGAAAGCGGACCACAGTTGACGGCTTGTTTGTTGACGTCAATGTATCCGATAGGTGAAGAATATTTGGGGCTCGGTAATTCCTCGACCAAAGCTCCGTCAGGTGTGCGCGGCACTCGGTTTCATGGTTTATCACTTCTGTAACCAGGTGCTTAGGGCCACCGGGCCACTACAAGAGCGGCTTGGCTTGGCTTCTCTTGGCCTGACCGCTTGGCGGTAAAAGAAAACTGGCTTGGCGGCTTGCTAATTGGACACAATTTAAGACTCACGAACCCGAAAATTGGAGGTGCGTTGATTACGGGAGGAAAAAGGTATAAATATTGATGCCCGTTGGGGGGGGTGCGTTTATTAAGCGAGTGTGTTTATTCTACGAGTAAATAAGGTATTAAAGGGATACTACAACGAAATTTCAGCGCTCATTTTTTGTCTATATGTGTTCAAAAAAGCAGCATCACATCAGAGATACCAATATCTTGTTTAAAAAGTCACGAAAAGGAATTTGAAAACGAATTAAACGATTAGCAAAGAGCACCTTGTGGATGTCGCTAACGCCTCGCTTGTAATGCCCGTCTAGGAACCTTGACAGCTCGTGACGGAGGTTGTCTCGCCTCCGGCCACGACGAGAGAAGAGGGCAGGAGGAACTCCCCACTTCCCGAGAATGCCTTTTGTGTGTCGCAGAAGTCGCTATTGTCCCCCTACAAGATTACTGAAGATTAACCCGTCGCTCAAAATTCGTACAAAAGCAGCCGCTTCGGTGGCTAGAACGACGAGGCCATCCTCTGGACGTCAGCCTCGCCGTAGCTTTGCTCGTCCTGAGACGACCTACGTCACGATTGCGTTAAATGACACGTGGTCTTCGCTGGGCCTTCTCCGAGTGCTTGCCAGAGTGGGCCGTTTATAACGAAAAATACAGCCACCAGGCTCAAAATACAAACGTGCGATTGTCATTTACGGATATTGTGGATCACATTCAACCTATTCTTGAACACGACAGGAATATTTCAAACTTCGTTGAAGTATCCCTTTAAAGGGGTACAGAAACAAAAATTGAAATATTCAAATTTCGTCCGGAAATGAGTCAAGCATGACGGATAATAACCGTAAATGATAATCGCACGTTTGTATTTTGAATGACTGACTATATTTTTCGTTCCAAACGGTGCACTCGGGCAAGTGCTCGAAGAGAAGCGAACTGAGAGCGCGATGCGTCATGGGATATCCGGCGCAAACGAAAACAGAAAGAAAAGGTTCCCCTCATTCGTGACGTAGCAAGGCTGGCGTGGTTATGAGCTTCGCCCTTGGTGGCGTTGTCAGCGTTGTGGTGGTGTCAATAGCGTCAACGCGTTACAGCCGAGCCGTTCAAAGTACCCGTAGGGTGACGAGCGTGTGGCTGGCCCAAGGAGCACGTAGCTTCCACAGCACTCAGCTTGGGGGTAAACGACGTGGGAAAAGCAACGTTTGTTCGAGTTTTGAGCGACGGGCTAATCTAGGGGGAGGATGGCTGTATCCGGGTGCACGAACGAGGGTTTGAAAGAGAGGGGAGTCCCTCCTTTCCTTCTTCTTGAACCGTTTGGTTCAATGCGCGATTTGTGAGTTCAGGAGGAAAGCTAAGAAGGAAAAAATAGAAATCCCAAAGAGCCGCACTGCTCCGAAGGAATCTGCTACGTCACGACTACATAGCAAGTTCCCCCACGTTGCTAGATCACCTCGCAAATGGGCTCCAGATGCATCCACCAGGTGCACATTGAAAGATTGTTTATTTAGCTTTAAAATTTGTTTTCTTGTGCCTTTCAATAGGAAGTCTTGTTTTTGAGGTTAAGGTGCAACATGCAACACATTCAGGCTAGAAAATGAGTGCTGGAATTTCGTTTCCCTATCCCTTTAAGATTGCAATATATGCGCAAGCAAGAACAAGTTCCAATATTGTCATCAATGAATTGAACAATATATCCCCAGTGGCGAATTTCAGAAGTTAAAGGGGCACTGACACCCCAATGGTGATACATTTATCACCATTGGGGATAAATGTATCACCTACTAAAGCAACTTGCATCCAAAAAAAAAAAAAAAAAAAAAAAAAAAAGATTAGTGCCCTGGCATGCATTCTGGGTGTTTTCAGTGGGCATAACTTATGCAAGTTTACATTGGTTTGACTGGGAAAATTTCTTGCTTTGTACTTTTGTGTATAAAAGTACCATGTAGCAAGTTGCTTTTTTCTTTGCCACTGTTGTAGCTTGTAGACATTGTGAACACATTGACACATTTATAAACTCCCAATGTTTATTTGCAGGTCAATCTCTTGCATTGTCGCGGAGCAAATGCAGCGAACCTGCACATCGCTACTTCGTAGAACGGAGTGCCCACCAGTCAGGTTAACTTCCGGCAGCTCTGATTCTTCGCATACGTTGTTTATTAACTTTGATGCGACATCGTTGGATCAGATCGGATCTTGTCATATTTCGGCCAGTTGTGTCCAATTTATCATCCATTTTTCCAACCCCAAATAGCCAACCTGCCTGATCCAATCCACTAATGTTCCATCTCAGTAAACAAACTCAGCGTGGCGGAGTAGCCCTCTAAAGGACTTCCCCTAAATGACTTCCTCTAAAAAACCTCCCCTTCGAGACTTTTCCTAGAAAACTACATATATTTTTAGCAATCTCAAATAGTGACCTGTCATTTTTTTTATTATAATGAGGGGTACATCCATGCTGCTCCTGTCTTAACAGAAAATATGCCAAGTTTTGAATTGCCCCAGTCATAATATTTGTCTTTAATTTTGTGTTGCTAGCATAGAGAACTGTTCTATATATTTAGTGATGATGCTGTATGTTCTGTTCATGCTTTCTCGGCTTTACCTGACCATCGTTGGAGAGTTTCTTGCACTGTTAAGCAGTGTTTGCACGCTCGCAACCGAGTAGGACCGAGAGAGACAAGATTGGCTTTTAAGCCTCTTTCGGCGGTGTAGGACCTGATCTGCAGCAGAGTATCCAGTCCTCCTTTATCGCAAGAGGCTGAAAAATCGGTCTTGTCTCTCTCAGTCTTACTCGGTTGCAAGTATGTGGACGGCACTTTACATATACTTGCATACCACCAGTGCAGCTTGGTTTGCTGAAGTTGCCCTTAAATGCGAAGAATGGAGTGTGCCGTACCATTGCATTGGGATCTATGATGCTTGTCTATTCAACCTCATTTAAACCTCGTGATAAAAATCTATGGCCATCGTCTCACAGATAATCTGGGAAATACATCCCCAGGTAATGCATAGGTTATTGAAAGCTTCACCACCACCAGCCAGCATTTGACACATCGCTTCTTTCCAACCATCCCTCTTTCCACCAATGTGACAGCATTAGGATTCAGTGTGGCCAAGGAATGGAAAATTAAAACTGCTCTTCCTCAAATTAAACTACCACACTACATCCAGTCCACTAGTGCACTGTTTTGTGAATGAAGCCAGTTTGAAAGTGCCGTGCTAAAATCGTCACATTCCCTTGAGTGACCTGTCACTCTCAAGTAATCAATCCTTTTATTTCACGTCAACACAGGATACAATATAACCTATGTTTTTAGCAGAGTATAACATGTTGCTGTGAGGTGGCAACCACTATTTCAATGCCAGCTCACTAGTTGGGTGATAGGAGAATGGAAGTAGAAGCTGCAGATTTCGAGTATTCATCAGGAATAAAATAGAAAAGTTAACGAAGTCCTTTGATGTTTGTAGATATTGAATGCCTGAGTTTTCTTTAATTTTTATTTTTATTATGGTATGTATGTCAGAAATTGCACTTTTCCTGAAAAAATATGTAATGCAGTATTTACGTTGCAATACACTTTTGGAGTTCGGAGCAATTCCGAAACATGGTTTACTTTCAAGACTGACCCGGAGACAGATGCTCGTTTAGGAAATTCTTTAACTCAAAACGAGTCTGATGACAAAAATGTAGCTCCAGGGATGGGCAAAATACATGCTAACATGTATCGAAATACAAATACAAAATACTTCGTCAAAAATGTATTTAATTTCAAATTTAATTACATTTCCAAAAAAAGCATTTAAGTACAAGATACAAATACAACCGAATGTGTTTGGTCTCTTCCAAATACATTTCTCAAAATTTGCATCAGCGACTTCAGGGCACCTGCAACGGGTTTCTGGGTATCCCATTTTAATTTTGCATCGCACACTCGGCAGTTAGTGTGCGAGGCTCTAGTAACATAATAGAAATATAATCACAAAAAAAAATAATCGGCTTGGACGTAATAGGTGAAAAAAGTACAGAGCTTCAAGCAGCTTTTTTTGTCGATTACATTTTGGTATAGACCAATAAAGAACCGAGACGACCAAGATGCGCAGCACTATCCAGAGAATTTTGTATTGTTGCAACTCTCGCCAGTTACGAAAATCTGGATGTCCCGCGCATTTAGAATGTTCCAGGCAAAAATATGGATGGAAATGAGGCTGGAAAGCATCAGAAGTTGTCACACACACTTATTTAGCCAGTCTGCCTGTGAACGTCGATTTCGTCATTATTTTTGCTCTGGAATAGCACCATAATCACAGTCACTAAACGCTTGTGCTTGATTCAGAGGCACTGCATTCGGTGCAGAACATAGTTTTCTTCCTGCTCTGGACAATGTCAATAAATTTGAGGGATGTATTTTCGCCCACAAAATTGTATTTAATTACAATTGTATTTGAAATACCCACGTTTTAGTATTTAAATACACGTCAAATGCATTACCCAATTTGTAATTAAATACAAATGCAAAATACACAAAGTATATGAAATACGTATTTCAAATACTTGTATTTGAAATACTTCCCATTCCTATGTAGCACTAAATGTTTTTTTTTGTTTTTTTCGAAAAGTTTATTTTGTGACAGACAGGTCCTATTCAGGCGCTAAAAAGCAATGTTTCTTGGGAGCGCAGCATTCATTGAAATGAATAGCCACCTGCCACTACACCAGTGTTGATGTTCAGGCACACTTTTAAGCTGCTTCTCTTGGTAAAAGAAATGCCTGTTGAAACCGATTTGGCTTGTTTCTTTCACAGAGCCTGTTTCGAAAGCCATTAAAGTCGAAGAACCGGCACCTGGCTGTGAAGACGCCGAGGGCAGACGCTCTTCTGAGAACATTTCGCTCACCGTGTGGCAGCAGATGGCACACCCACACCGAGAGGAGAAATATCAGTGCCGGTTCTGCCCTTTCTCTAGCTGTCGCTTGTCGGGCCTCAAGCAGCACGAAAGGACGCACACAGGCGAGAAGCCCTTCAGCTGCGCCGTCTGCCACAAAAAGTTTGCACAGAAGGTTCGCCTGCAGGCTCACGAGAAAATTCACACGGGTGAAAAGCCATTCAAGTGCCAGACTTGCGGAAAGGCGTTTTCGGACAAATCTAACCTGCAAGTTCATAACAGAATTCACACAGGTGAAAGGCCATTCAGGTGCCAGACTTGCCAGAAGGCATTTGCAAAAAGCGGTAACTTGACGCAGCACAGAAGAGTCCACATGGGTGACAAACCGTATAGGTGCAGAGCATGTGGAGCTCCGTTTAAACAGTGGTTTCAATTGAGGTGTCACGAGGAACTTCACGGTGTAGACCCACCATTTCATTGCAAGCAGTGTGGAGAAAAGTTTCTGAAGGAAGCTGATTTAAATGCGCATCAGAAGGAGCATCATCCGTGAGGGACATCCGTTATATAGTAAAGGGTGGTGTAGCTTGACATATTTGCACAATGTCGTTTTACCCTTTTTTTCAAGACCACCTTGTGTAAACCTGTTAACTGATTGCCCAATAATGAATCATCTGTGGTCTAAGAGTACTGACTACCATCTATCACACTGTAGAGTCAGGACAGCAAAAAGAACTATCACTAACAAAGAAGCCCTCAGTGCCCATCACAACGAGCATATGCCATATTTTCCGGTCTATATGTCACACCTTTGCTTAAGTTGCACCTTACTGTAAAGTGCTGTTTTCATTGAAACATTGCTATTTTGGCTCCCACCTTGTACAAGACACACCTATATATTTGTATGATGGGCACGGCAAAGATTAATTGAAAAGCCTGCATATATGTACTATTAATATCGCAATATATGCGCAAGCATGAACCAGTTCCAATATTGTCATCAATGAATTGAACAATATATCCCCAGTGGCAAATTTCAGAAGTTAAAGGGGCACAGACACTGCATTGGTGATATTTTTATTTTGTTTTCTGAAACAGATCAAATTGTTGTCATAGACACACAAAAAATACTACAATGCCAAAAAAAACTTTTCCCACGCGTGCATGCCTGTTTTTTTTTTGCAGCTTTCCTTTCCCTGTTTTCACCTCCTGGCTTCTTTTTATTTGTGACATAATCAATTATGATATTTAGAAGCTTCGTAAGCGACATTTTTATATTTAATAACGACATTCGCAAATCATGTTTTTTCACGCAATTGCAAACGCTTTACTGGGCATAGTGACTTACAATTGCGTTAAAAAACATGTTTTACTGATGCCGTTATTAAATATTTCTTGTAAATTATGCCAGGAGACATCATTTCCGGACTCTGGTGGGGCTTTTTTTGAAATCTTGAAAATTGATGTCTGTATATGATGTAGTCTCCTGGTTTTTTTTTATCCTCCCTCGGAAAACATGGCGGCGCTCGGCACGTATAGCGCTCAGGATGATCGGGAGTCGGGGAATCGGACGAAGTTTTCTTTTCGGTGTGTGACGACCTCTCAGACTTTGAAAAGGAAATTGTCAAACAGTCAAAACAACTGGGTTTGTTTCCTGTGCACCATAAATTTGGTTGTGACTCGACCAGGGTAGCCTTTCACGCAGCACCGGCGAGACATGGCCTCTCGCGTCGCTCACAAAAGCCCACTGCACGTCCTCATCGACCTCATACCGTTTTAAAGAATTTGAGATCGCTGACAGGGCTCTAAGAGAACTTCAAACTCGAAAGTGAAGCGTTGTCTGCTTGCAGCGATAAGAGACAAGCACGGAGAAGAGTGTTTATTGCGGGATGCGTAAGAATGCGACACTTCCGGTTGGGACGGTTCGGATGCGGGAGAGGAACTCAAGCTAGGACGACTCGTTCTTTGACCTGTTCACCAGCATGGATCGCACGAAAACTTCAAAATTGAAGTTTGGAAATAGTTTTTTTTTTTCTTTACTTCACCAGTACTGGGTTCCTAAGCTTTGAATTTTTAGTGTAATGTTTAGGCATCGTTTTCAATTGTTTCAGATTATAAAAAAACTTGTGATTTTGAGCTGCCAGTGCCCCTTTCAGGCCCGTGGTCCTAAAAAAGAATGCATTTAAGTTGTGTAAAATGGACAGACAGAAATTTTTGGTACAAAAATACAGCCTATTTATTGAAGAATACGGTAGGTGTGTATTTGTTCTTCCATGCCTTGGAGCTTTTTACTATTCCTGGCTACTTCAAGTTGATCACATTCCATGACACGGCACTCGAGCAGCCAGGCACCTGCTGAAGCAAATGTAGAGCATGAGATGAAGCCGGAACATCCCATAAAATATTTTGAGACCAGATATTTCTGTGCAGCATGTTCAACCAGTTCTCAGCATAATGTCATTGAAATAACAAATACTATTTCATGATATGAAACAAGCTCTGCCATCTAGAGTTCATTCACCTGTGTGAATGATTCTCTCCCTAAGTATGCTTAGTATGCACTTGTCTTGTATTCCTTGCATTGGTTGTTTTTATTTTTCCTAACATTTTATGCTGATGTAACGTTTTGTGTTAATGTTTTGCATGTCATACAGCCCATTGGCAGAGGTTTGTGGTCATGAAAAACAAAGAAGTAATCTTTGTATTAGTATTCTTTAGTGATCTTTCATTTGGGGCTTAAGCCTCCTTCCAGCAAAGAAAGGAGCTAAGACAGGTTAAGAACACGGACAGGCAAACAATTAAACTGAGAATTGATATTGTTATATCATAAAAACTGACATGCTTCGCACTTTCCACTTTCGCCTGACTCCTATTCTGTATCTTCTCCATTTCTTTACCTTGCACTGTCTTGACTCCCCTTGCAGCTTAGGAGAGGGGGAACGCTAAGAGAATAATGTCCCTTGCAGAAGACCGAGGTTGTACTTTTGCCTTTAAATTATGCAAAATCACACATCTCTTTTTATACTTTCCAATTATCATGAGCTCCTGTATAAGTGTGGTTAAAGGGACAATGAAGACGATTTTATTTAATTTTTTTAAGTGGTGTTTTTATGCTTCTTGGGAACATGGCATGCTGCCCAATTTTTTGTAGACATTTGTGACGCATATTTTTGTGCCTACGAAAGAAGTAAAGAAACCGAAACTGAACAATGTCCGTTCTCGTTTCTGGGCCTCCGAAAACGGAGGCGACGTAGGGGGTGACGTCAAGTGTGAATAGTCGGTATCGGTAGCATTTAGGAGATCGAGACTCTGGTTAGCGCGGTGGGTTATAGCAGCGCGGTGGGGCAGTCGTTTCGCCGAATCTGTCACCATCGACGGCAATGCCGCTTTCGCGAGCGAGTTCGAACTTCCTTTCGTTACCGAACACCAACGGAACGGGAGTACGTGTGTGGCGGCCTCTGCCATCACCTGACGGAGACCGCCCAGCCGGCAACCAGCGGTCCGCATGCCGAAGGAAGGACGCGGGGAAGATACGGAGGGGAAAGCGGCAGCGATCCGGCCGTTCCGGGATCCGGTTTCTCCGCGGACGTCCTCTTTTCGTCGTCAAAGAACACAAAACTAGCGTCGCCTGAACGAATACTGGTCTTCAGTCGACCGTTGGAACAGCCATCTACAGCTACCATTTTGCAGAATCCTTCCAGTACCGTGTTCTTTTTTATTTTATTTTGTTTGCCCATAGTTGTTCGTTGCCCGCTTCGCGTCCAGCGTAGCAAAGCAAAAAACAATTATGCTGCTTTATTTGCGGTTTAGTAATCATTTTCGGTCCGATTTATACTTTTCATGGTTATTCAAGCGGAAAGTAGAACAGTATTCCTAAAAAATCGCGAACCAAAACGTGACCGAGGGCACGTTTCTCGTTTCGACCAATCGCTGACGCGTCTCTTGTGACGTCGCGCTTCTTGGCCCCGAATCGATCACGTGAGCTCCGCTTCTCCTGGCTTCTCCCGCAACTCTCGGGGCGTCGCTCCAGTCGATCCCGGTACGATTATTACCGCGACTGTTTAATTGATTTGCGCGGCATAGAAGCGCCGGTTTCAACTGAAATTCGGGCAGCGTGACATGAGACGTGCCTGGAACCCAGTTTAATCGCCAAAAAGATGTCCGAAATTGCCTTCATTGTCTCTTTAAGGTAGGCTTATCATTACCCCTTTTTTCACATTGCAGAGAAGTACTTTGTCTGTGTTTTGCAAGGTAACTTCTAAATTCTGAACAAATGGCTTCTATCAAGGCCATGCATTTCAGTATGCATTGATTACCATCACAAACATGCTGTTCAGTCCTGTCAAGCAAAATATTTGCCATGTTCTTTCTTTTTGCAACTGTTCTGTAACGTGGAATCTCTTGGTTGGAGTCAAATCCTTGTTAAATCAAGTTTTCGAGCTCTCAGGACTGAGTTGTTTTTGGTAAAATGTCATACAGTCGTTTGTTTATTTTTGTTGATGTCGTGGGTCTTTTATTTTTATATTTATCCTTATGTGCCCCACCACACTGCCCTGTAATGCCTTTGGACCTGAGGGTAACTGAATAAATAAACATGAAGAGAGTGAAAGTGCGAAACAGACACAACCCTACATTTGTTTGGTTCTTTTACTTCGTCCCTTTGCTCTTTTCATCGGGATACCATGCATCACCTTGTTCAAGTCCATACACTGCTGCAGCCTAATAATACAGCATCAATATCACCTTTCTCTCTACAATAGCTTTCTTACCAAAAAAGAGCCACTCCCACAACCAGGTTTTGCACAGGAGACAGCTTACCAGCCATGTATTGCATGGTCACGACTCCAGAACATCGTCTCTTGCAGTTGAGAAAGGTCAAGGGTGCATCACGGTTGGAGGGGTTCACCTGCCGATTCCTGTAGATTACTGTTTTGACGGGAGGTGGGGTATTCCGAGGTCTGGACCAAGGAACAACAACAACGGACTACAACAGTTGCGGCACTCCACCTTTTTCATGAAATCTTCACTGCGCCGTCACGTCTTGGATGTGGAATGTGAACAGCGACCTAGGATGTCGCAGCATAAAGGTGCAATGGTGACCTTATGCTGTCATAACAAACAGTTATTTATGCTTACTAGCATCAGTTGTTAGAGACATTAACAGAAAACAATGTAACAGAAGGTATAAGAGGAAACAAACGAACTAGAAGACAAGTGTGTGCAAATGCACCACCTTGTTTGCACACACTGAAGTCCTGAAGCAGTTCAGCAACAAGCGTTCGAGAGCACTACATGAAAGGAGACGCACGTCTCCTTTGAAATGACATTTTTGCTATTTTTTGTTAATTTAAAATGAAAGAAGTGTCGCACACATTTTTTTTGTTCATTGCACTCAGTGGTTTGAAAGGAAAGAATTAGTTAATTTTACTAGGCATTTCTAAGTTTGCTGCCATGCGTTGTGTGCACAAGAACATGTTTTTTTCCTTCATGTACATTGCATCAAAAACCTAAAAAAAAAGCTACATCCAATCTAACACCAGATTATAAAGAGAAGGTTAAGCACCATAAACTAAAAATTTTATTTCGATATTGTAAATAATAACAATAAATTTTTCTCTGGCGCATGTCCCCTTAACAACTTCACGTTGCAGTACGCCAGTGGTTGTGCACAGTAAGCCCCCAAAAAGGGCACTTGTAAAATTATGTCTCTACCTTGCATCTGCCAACAAACCATTCATGACCTAGCATGCATTCCAGGTGTTTTCATTGGGCACAAGTATTGCAAGTTTACATAGTACAATTGCACGCGCACTCGACATCAAGTGCGCGTGAAATTGTACTGGATCTTTATACAACCGCTTTGCGAAGGCGGATCTACTTCTAGTGTGAATGAGCGGTAAAAGCCCGAGCGCTCGCACAAGCGGCCTAGCTCTCGGTGAAACACTCGCACAAAGAAACACACTCACGCACACGCACAGCATAAATAGCGTTGCATCGTTTCTTGCTTTGTTGCTTACACTGCAAGCTGAGAGGCAATCATCATTGGAGACTACCTCAACGGCGCCGTGTTGCGTCGTTTGCTGTGCGAGCAGAAAACAATAGCGTAAACATGTTAAAATGTTTAAAGAAAAAAAAATTTAGCTTTAGCC